ATTCTATGCTTCATTGCCATGGGCGGGAGGCCCAAGTGATGGGAATGGCATCATGCAAGCATGCCTCCGCTGTTGGGAAGGTTTTCTGTATTTTGTGTGTGTGCAGGCATTTGGGTGGCAAAAGTGGTTCCTTTGGGGGCCTGTTGATCTTGACACTGTGCCTTCAAGGCTTTATATAAGGGCCTCTTGGTGAGTGTGCACGAATGGCAGGGTGGATAAATTCTACCCGTAATCCTGCTGTTTGAATGGCGATGAAGAAATTGTTGATACGACAGGCTGGAGACTTCACAAAGCTTTGAAATAACTTGTTTTAATAACACTTGACGACATGATCCTGTTGTTTCAACATTTTCTAAGCCAGCAGCCTGCCTTGCACTGACCATTCAGAAACACACAGGTTCTCTGAGCACTTTGCCACCAAAGAGGGTGTAATCAAAAAAAGGTCTTCCTTTCTCCCCGAATCCTCTCCCAAGCCCGTGTCCCTCGCCCCAGAAGTCCAGATAGCTTGTGTGTGATGGGGCCCAATATGGAGAGTCCTTATTTCTACAATCAGCCCATTTTTATCTCTGTCGCTATAAATACAGCACGGTGTGTGGTGTACTTTGGAGAGTGATAGTTCTTCAGGCCTGACTGCTGCTCCTTGAGCTGTTTTTGAAATGGTTGAAATTTTAGGAGAAAACATGATGGTGGTATTTTCAAAAGAGAATGTTCTTTAATTTCACTTCGTTCTTAGGAGGCAGTAGGACCGTGGGGGTGAGAGAGATACGGAGCCATTTTACTAAGTAAAAAAAAGTAGCATTTGATCCTGCGCGTACACCTCCCAAAGCTATTTACTTACAAATGGAAAAGCAATTTCAAAGTGAGACATGGAAAACTTATAGCTATGGCTATGTTGAAGGCTAAGGTTTTTTATATAGCTTCACTTCCTGCTTTATGTTCCTAATTTAATAATTTGATACCTCCACTAACAGTAACTTTATATGCATGTATCCCAGTAATTAGTGCTTATATCCTCTATAACAGGGGTCGGCAATGTTCGGCACGCAGCTCGCCAGGGT